TATATATATTATCTTCTAACTTTTTGGAGTCCTCTTTGATAATTTTGTGTCAAGTTTCAACATTTAAATGAGCAGTGCTTGGGCAAGTCCATGCTTGGATTGTTCGAAATTCATTATTTTTGAAAACGACTCGAGTTTGAAATTGTTCATGAATAAGTGTTTTTGTTTGACTTATTTACATATTTGTGTTCATATCTGACTCATATTCGACTCATATTCTACTCAAAATTAGCTCTTTAAAATTAATTATAAAATTATATGCTAAGTTTTGGATTCAAACCTTCATCATTCATTTACAATTAAAAAAAAAAACAGAATATGGTGATTTAAATTTATATGTAAATATATATAATATATTATCATAAAAATAATATTTATATAATTTTCTTACTTTGAGCTATAACGGGCAGACCCGTAAAAGATTTGTAATTCAAGCTTAAAAAAACTTGTTCGTGTTTGGCTAGCTTAACAAATGATTCAAACTCAAGCTACTTAACGAGCCTATCACGAGCTATTCAGGAACAACGAGCACTCTCTTCAGCTCGATCTCTCCTCTCCATGGCCAAGAATATATCTCTAAGCTAAAGTTAATCCAGTAAACTAAAACCATAACTTGACCAAAAAAACCTTTTATGAAATATTTTTTTTAATTATTTAAAAATGCATTTCTTTCTATGAAAAATATTATTTTACATTCAAATAATTGAAGTGCTATAGTGAAATCATATAATATGCACCTCTAAATCATATGCATTGGGTTTTATGTATGTAAATGTGATAGTTTAGGGGACACTTATATAAATCAATAAGAATTGTGTGGTATGTATGTAAATGTCCCCAGGCCCAAAATCATGAAATGTGAAAATATATATATATATATATTTCTTCTCTCTGTATCTGAATTCTGAACCGAGAGCCACCCAATAATGGCGTCGATTCTTTCCTCGCCGGCGTTGCCCGCCTACCCTTCAGTCCGGCTACGCTCCAGCCTGTTTCTAGCCCGTCCATCTCTTCACCTGCACCGGCCGAGGTCTGCAATAGCTCCGTATTCACTTCTCCACGGGGTACCCTTTCTGCTCGACGGCTCCATGGCTCCGGCGGCGGAGGTGGCGGTTTCCGGCGTCGGCGAGGCGTCGTACTCTCAGGCGAGCTATTATACGTCCCTAGGCCTTTTCGTTATTTCAGTTCCAGGCCTTTGGTCACTCATCAAGCGCTCTGTTAAATCCAAGGTCATCTTCATCGAACCCTTTCTCTCAATTCTAGATTTCATTGAATTATTCGCAGGTTTGGAGCTCCTTTTGTTGATTTCCTTCCGATCTTATTCCCTTGGTTTAGAAAATTTCAGATAGTGCAGAAGAATTTTGTGAAAGGAGCTAGTAGGCCGAATCAAGTGGCTGGGGAGATCCTCTCGTTCTTCACTCGCAATAATTTTACAGTCTCTGATCGAGGCGACACCATTACGTATCTCTCTCTTTCTCTTTCGTCCTCCCTCTACTTCTCCAAAATGTCTAGTGGCTAACAAAAATCATGCCTGCAATGTGTTCGACGAAAGGTTTGAAGGAATGATGGTGCCCAGCAGAGGGCAGGCAGCGCTGCTCACTTTCTGCACCTGCATTAGCCTTGCAAGCGTAGGTCTCGTCCTCTCTATTGCGGTTCCTGAGGGAGGCAATAACTGGTTCTGGCTCACGGCGCTTAGCCCTCTTGCGTATGCCTTCTTTCTTATACTTATTTATCTGTTTATTTGAAGGAAAATTTACATCGTTACCATTCAATTCTTATGTATTTACATATGTAACACCAAAAATTCAATTTTTATGGTGAGCATCAAGATAGAAATTTGCCTGGTTAAGATCTAAGGATTTGTTTGGAGCAAATTTCTTGCAACTTAGCTTTTCCTTTCGAGGAACAGCGATAATTCTATTTAGTTGAATCTTCTTGCTGGTTTTTGTATGTTTTAGTGGTGAAAATAATTTTGTGCAACCAAAATTATCACAATGTGATGGTTCTAAGAAAAAAATTATTTTTAAAAGAAAAAAATATTTATAATACTCTCAAGAGTTTAATAAAATTTACTTTTTGTCACATTATTCATGATATTTACTAGATTTAAGAAATTTTCCATCTTACAAATCTTAAATTATAATACAAATAGCTGAGAAATTCATTGGGATTTAATAATATTTATTAATTGTAATGCCAACTAGTTTTTGATTTTAATCCTCTTAAGATTTATTAGATTTGGATTTACCTGAATCACTAAATTTCATTTGTAGCAATGGCCATTACTAAAACCAGCAGTGCACTACATCATACGGATCATCCAATTCCTATCTATTTACATAATCTAACACGAAAACTCTACTTTTCATATCACATAAGAAAATGCCATGATTTTAACTTATATAAAGCGAAATACACATTTTCATGCATAGCTAAGGTGGCATGTATAAAAAATTGACATTTAGATGTTAGATATGTAAATACAGAAAAATAAAGGCGTATGTATGTAATTTTTTCTTTATTAAACCTTAATTTACATCAGACATGAACCTGTGACCTCATTCTGAAGAACCAAAGAATATATCATTTGAAATAGAAGTCTTTGTCAGCTAATCATTCTCTTTCCCGTTGAAGCTTTCTGTAAAGCTGCTTAATGGCTGATTGACTGTTTATGTATCAGGGGAGTCTATTACTGGCAACGGGCATCAAGGAAAGAGGAGATAAAAGTGAAGATTTTAGTAGGCGATGATGGAAAGCTTTCTGAGATAATTGTGCGTGGGGATGATCAGCAGTTGGAGCAGATGAGGAAGGAGCTGCAGCTCAGTGAGAAGGGTATGGTCTACGTTAAGGGACTCTTTGAACAGTAGAATTATGTGAGGTGAACTTACTACTAACACTTATTTATTTATTTATTTTTAAGTTATATGGAAAGAATAAATATTTTTTATTTCAAATTTGTATCAATGGTTCTTTGTAGAGTTTGATTATAATCAGTTTTCGAGCATTTGTTAGTTTAATTGTAGCAAAATGTGATGTTTCCTAATATGATCTAAGTTGTTTTGATAGGTTGGGAAGACAATGCCTTGTTGATAAACTCATTTGAAAACCATAGTTCGTCTTCTCTGGTCTATCGTGTTTCGAGGGTTGACATGAATTTGACTAAAATAGGTAAGGATCCATGACCACCCGGGATGTATGATGGATTTGGGACAATGGAATGAACTCATTATAGGTTCACCTACATTTACCTTACATGCTCCAATTTAATCAGATCACAATGTTTAAATCCTATGCACCTCATAACTCAATGAATTGAAATGTAGGGTTGACCTTTTAGAAATTTTTTCAAAACATTACCAGCTTCATGATGAATAATGCTAAACAAACCATGGGTTTAACTCAAGTTGGATTTAGTAAATCTTGTAAATCCAAATTTACTGAATCTTATGTCTGTTAGAGCTTGAAATTTTGTATGGTAAGATGGGTATTAAATTCAAGTAAAATGTTTGCAATTTTTTTTTGAAATGTAAGGATTTATTTGTAGTTGTAGATGGTTTGGTCGCATTAAACTTCGACCAGCCGATGATCTGGTTAGGAGAGTAGATGTTTTAGATTCGATTATGTTAAGAAAGATAGGGGCAAGCCTAAAAAATCTTCAGCATATTGTATAAAAAAAGGATCTTAATTTATTATAATTAAATGAAAATATGATACTCAATAGGACACGGTGGAGAAAAATGATTCATGTAGCCGACCCCACTTAGTGGTATTAAGGTTTTTTGTTGTTGTTGTAAGGATTTATATGATTGAAGGATAGTATTATATTTATTTTACTCATCAATCTTAAATTAAATAATTAAGTCATAATTAATATAATTAATTATCTCACTTAATAATAATTAATAATTTTAAAAACTGATGAATGATGACTTACATTTTGGCAAATCAATTCAATAATTTAAAAAAAAAATACTAATTAACTTAATATAATAAATTGAGCTCAAGAGCTAACTTAATTACAAGTCCATTGTGATTTATTTGATCAAAACCTATTAGGATTAGGTTGAATAGGCTTTAGTTTATCTTGTCAAGGTCAATGCCCTAGGTTTGATTAGTTGGATTCTACGCATAATGGGGTCAAAGTCTTGCTAGTCAGGGGTCAACTAAGCTATACTTGCTGCACACTGGCGGGGGCATCTACATAAATAGCACCCAATTCCTATGTATTTACGTCATCTAACACCTAAACATTTTTTATTTATATTTTGACCACCGAATCCTTTCATATCATTTAAAAAATTGTAATACATATTTTCATTTTTAGGTAGAGGTGATATGCATCTAAAAATAGAAACTTAGGGTTAGATATGTAAATGCATAGGGATTTAGTGGCATGTATGTAAATCTTACAAAATAATAATATGTTCAATAAACTTCACCCTTAAATTGGAGAAATTATTGCATACAGGAATGCGGTGTCCGATCCTGACTGTAGATCACGGTGATCTATCGTCGGGATTATTTCAATTTTTTTTTTTTTTTAAATTTAGGTCCCACCGAAATACATCCTAGTCGTGAATCACCTGATTTACGGTCAGGATTGGACACCGGTATGGAATAGTTTTTCCTTAAATTCATGTATAAGAATTTTATGAGCTCTTCATATTAAATTATATCAGCAGTGCACGAAATTATTTAAAATTTTGGGGCATTTACATACATACCATACAATTCTTATGTATTTACATGCAAAGATAAAGCTGAGAATATGCAAAAATTGAGCTTTAGATGTTAGATATGTAAATACAGTAGAATTGAGTGATACGTATGTAAATCTTCCTAAAAAATTTATATTGAAATTAAAATAAACTCAAATCAAATTATTAAAGTTCATAACATTTTGATGTTTTGAACTTCTAATTGAAAAATTGTTTATCACTTTTGAAAATTAATAATAATGCTATCTTTTATGTGATATAAAATTACAAGTGCTGTGTGTAAATATAAAATATTAGGTTTGAGATATGTAACATATTAATTATGTGATATGTGTGCAAATGGAAAAATTATTCCATACAAATGCATACGCTGTCCGATCTCCACTGCCCTTCATTTCTTATATGTTTGCCCTGACGAACGGTGTAGATCGGAGATCGTATGCATTTCTGCATACGCTGTCCGTATGGAATAATTTTTCGTGCAAATGCCCCCTTCTTATTTTCAAGCGTAGCTAAGATGATTTGCTAGTGTGCAAAATTTGAAAGGTAAGCACTTAAAAATTAAAACTCACTTTAAAATTTCAAATATTTTTTGCAAAAATTATAGCTAACTAAATATTTAATAGTTTCTTTTTTGGAGTTTTTACATGCCAACCACCCAAAACATTTAATATAATATTTTAACGGCATACGCTTTAAATATTACATTTTTAACCTCTTTTTTTTATTACAACCACTCTTCTTCCCATCATTTAAGTATGAGTGAAAGTTTTGGATGATTAAAATGTTAAATTTAAAATTATGGGCGGTTAAAATGTAATATTTAAAATTTAGGTGATTAATATGTTATTGTTGGATCTTAAATTGTCTTGTGGATCACACCTATGGAATAGAGCGTTGGTCAAATGAAAAAAAAGAAGAGATACTGAAGATTTGAAAGACAATTCTCCTACTTAGAAGTCTCTATTAAAAAGAGAACCTTTCTATAATTAATGAGCTGTTACATTTATAAATTTTTAACTTAATATCATTTATTCAGACCCCATAATCAACCAGTGCTGCTATGCTTCTATAATTGTCTTGAATACAACTTCATATTCGTAACTACCAAATTTGTTTTTCTGGAGTTCATTTCGTCGATCGTGATTCCTTTAGCTAACCCATCGTCATGCAATTATCTTCGGTCGCCCATTCGGTAGAAACTGAATGTGAAGTTACATCTTCCTTCGGTAGGGTTATTTCATTGTTCAGAGGGTAAATCGCTGTAGTTCGACAAACAAAATACTTTTTGATCTATGCATCCTTACTGAAGTACCTCATTTTGGGGGACTCACTAATTTTTCAAGATAGTAGCTGCCGTAATAGTGCGGCCACATGGTGCTCGTTTGATCGTTCACTCTCTTCGTTCGGTCATCTTATAAGACGGACGGATCATTTGCACGAATAATTTATGCTCTTAATGTCTCCAATTATTTCTTATCGAATTTCATGCAGACTCATTCCTGATGCAATTATATTAAATGTTTTAGATGTTCAGTATGAACATTACGCGAAGGAGAATTTTCTATTAATGTGAAATTAAAACATTATCCCTTCCATAAAAAATTCTAGCTTCTATACTCTTCAGACAACTGTAATCGTTACTTTCTGTTCGTTTTGTCTTACCCTAAGTCTACTGTGGAAGTAGATGACCTACAGCCGACGCAGAGTGCCGACGGTGAAAGCTCGAATTGAATAAGCCCTGCATATGGATCTCAAACCCCCATTACCGCTTCCGAAGCAGGTGAGCCTATTAATGGCGCATCTTCGTTCCTTCCGCTTGCCCTCCTCATCCATCCACTGTCATATTCTACCGTCATTATCACCTCCCGCGCAACATTTATTGCGTTAGATCGCTCCCCGCATGGTTGGTCCGCTAGCTTTTATTGCCTGCCCCTGCAGGCTGGGAACTTACCTGCTCAGGGTTTCTGGTTTGAGTTTGATTGATTGATGGCGGGGATGGCATCGAAGGAGATCGGATCTCCGGATTTCTTGCCGGAGAGATCTCCCGCGCTGGATGGGAGTGTTCAGGATGCTCGGAGAAAGAAGCTGGGAGCGCATTTTTTGGAGAGCGATGAGAGGCAGTTGCCGGCGGCCATTAGCGGGGGTTATGTCGGGGGCGCGACGCCGGTTACTCTGAGGGGGAAACGCATCGAGGATCTATCCAAGACCGGTGGATGGATCGCCGCCTTCTTCATCTTTGGTATCGATCAATCTGAATTTTCTTCCATTTATGAATCAATCTGAAGCTCTCTTTCTTCTTGGACTATTTGGCAGAATTTATCATAAATCCTGCATAAATTTAGCTAACAAATAGCCCCTAAATGTAAAATTAACCAAAAGAAGATGGCTGACCTAATAAAATAATTTTAATTATAAAACATGAGAAATTCAGCCCTAGTAAAAAGGACCATAAGGGCTTCAAATTTGTACCTTGTTCAGTTCTATTATGCATACAGACGAACTTCCAACACCTTTCATAAAAAAATCTGTGTGATGGATTTTGTCCCTTGCCTGTTCTGGGGCATTTACATACATTCCATTCAATTACTATGAATTTACGAATATAACTCCTAAATTCTACATTTTTACTTTTATACCACCCAAATCTTTTATAGCACTTAGAAAAAACCGCCATTTTAACTTTTGAAAGAAAGAAATATACATTTTCATGTGTAGGTAATGTGGTATGTATGCAAAATTGAAGTTTAGATGTTAGATATGTAAATACATAATAACTGAGTGGTGTTTATGTTCAGGTAATGAGATGGCAGAGAGAATGGCCTACTTCGGGCTGTCAGTGAATATGGTAGCGTTCATGTTCTATGTCATGCACCGGCCATTTACCAGCTCTGCTAATGCAGTGAACAACTTTCTTGGGATATCGCAGGCTTCATCCGTGCTTGGTGGTTTTCTTGCCGATGCATATCTTGGTCGTTACTGGACGATAGCAATTTTCACAACAATTTATCTTCTAGTACGAACTATCATGACCTCTTACTGCATTTTACTCATTTATTAATGGATCAATTCTTATGTATTTACTCATCTAATATCTTAACTATCATGTCACTTCTCTAAAGGTTTCTTTTATTAACTATGTTCTTTATTTTTTTCTGTAATGTTACAGGGTTTGACAGCAATAACCTTAATTGCTACAGTGAGCATCTTCATGCCCAATCAATCCAACTGTGATCAGTTATCCATTCTTCTCGGCAATTGTGAACAATCCAAGCCATGGCAGATGATTTACCTCTACACAGTTCTCTACATCACTGCTTTCGGAGCTGCGGGCATCCGGCCTTGCGTCTCCTCCTTCGGTGCCGATCAATTTGATGAGCGAAGCAGAGATTATAAGGCTCATTTGGATCGATTCTTCAACCTATTCTATCTATCTGTAACCATCGGAGCAATCGTGGCCTTCACCATGGTGGTCTACATTCAAATGAAATATGGATGGGGTTCCGCCTTTGGTTCTTTGGCCATCGCCATGGGGATCTCGAATGCCATCTTCTTCGTCGGCACGCCCCTCTATCGCCACCGATTGCCAGGAGGCAGCCCTCTCACGCGTGTTGCGCAGGTCCTGGTTGCTGCGACGAGAAAGAGAAATGTTCCCTTCTCTAACAGCGACTTTGTGGGCTTGTATGAAATCCCTGGAAGAAGGTCCGCCATTAAAGGCAGCGGGAAGATTGAACATACAGGCAAATTCCGGTACTCAGCTCTTTTCATTCTTTCGGAACTTATGGCCATTTTTTTTAGAGAGAAAGCTAATTCTATTGATATTTTTTGAAAGAGCAAAAGCTTAAAATAGTCCACCGATTATCAATAATTAACAAATTTAATTTTGGAGTTTTGAAGTGTTGCAATTTAGTCCCACACTATTAATAATTGATCCAGAGTAGTCTAGCTGAATTTGCATGGTTAAACTTAATGCTTGCTAATTTTAACCATGAGACTCAGCCTAAAGACTAATTTCATAATTGGGATCAAATTTTATTAATCCAGTACTAAAATTAAACACTTTTAAACTCCAAAACTAAATTAATCGCATGTTGATAGTCGGAGGACTATTTTGAGCTTGTGCTCTTTTTGGTAATATGAATGTACAAGGTGCTTGGATAAGGCTGCTTTGCAACTCAAGGAAGATGGTGTGAAACCTAGTCCATGGAGACTCTGCACTGTAACTCAAGTAGAAGAAGTCAAGATACTCATAAAGCTTCTTCCCATACCTGCCTGCACCATAATGCTGAGTGTCATCCTCACAGAGTTCCTCACCCTCTCAGTCCAGCAAGCTTACACACTAAACACCCACCTAGGACATCTAAAGCTCCCAGTTACCTGCATGCCGGTCTTCCCCGGTCTCAGTATCTTCCTCATCTTATCCCTCTATTACTCCACCTTCGCGCCGCTCACCCGCCGAATCACCGGCCACCCTCAGGGTGCATCCCAGCTCCAAAGAGTTGGCCTCGGTCTTGCCGTATCTATTCTCTCCGTTGCATGGGCTGGTCTTTTCGAGAGGTACAGACGAAACTACGCCATCAAGCATGGATACGAGGCTCTTTTCTTGACTGCAATGCCGGATCTGAGTGCTTACTGGTTGCTGATTCAGTACTGTTTGATTGGAATAGCTGAGGTTTTCTGTATTGTTGGTCTTCTTGAGTTCCTTTATGAGGAGGCTCCTGATGCTATGAGGAGCATTGGGTCCGCTTATGCCGCCATTGCTGGAGGATTGGGCTGCTTTGTCGCAACCATATTGAACAATATTGTGAGATCGGTGACGGGAAATGAGGCCGGCGGGCGGCCGTCTTGGTTATCGCAGAACATAAATACTGGGAGATTTGATTACTTGTATTGGCTTCTGGCTGTGCTGAGTTTGATAAATTTTGTTGCTTTTCTGTTCTTTGCTGTGCGGTATGAGTACAGGTCGAAGATGGTGGTGGGGATTGAAGAGGAGTCTAAATTGAATGGGGATGGTTAGCTGAGTCGCTGGAACCAGGTTTGGTTTTATAAAATTATACTGGAATGATTTTATTGATCATGCTGGCTTATTTTGTAGTCCTGTGACTTTGATGAGGCCGATTTTGTCCTGCTTTTAAAGAGTGGCATCTAAATTCAGAGTGTATTCTAGGATGTCTTTCCACTTATTTCAACGTGTAGCAAATAGAAGTCTTTTACATTAGTGAGGTTTTTGATGTATACATAAAACGACATAAAAACTTCATTGCACTCTACCTTTTTTACCATTATGGTTATGAAGACCAATATAAGTGTATTCGCAACTCATGAATATTTCAAGATGTAGCTTTCTCCATTTTCTATGATTGCAGTTTTATATGTTAAGGGGGTGTTTGGTAGCACACTTATAACAGATTTTAACCTATGTCCAGCCAAACACCAAAGAAGGAGAAATCAAAATCCAATTCTCCATTAAATCCTAAGCTCTCCCGTTCCACTTCTTTCTCCCCGTTCGTCTCCTCCATGCCTTAAATCCAGATTTATCAGATCCGTGTGTGAGGCAGATTTCGCTGATTTACTCCGCCGTTGCTCGCCCTTCTCCGTCGTGCCTATTAACATAAGTTTTCTGCTGCTGACAAACCCCTCCCAAGTGTGAAGTCAAATCTCTAATAATATGAAGTGGTGTTTTTTTTTTATTATTATTTTATTTGATAAAGACTTGAATGACGGACATCACAAAGCCCTAAATGGAGCTATCATAAAATCATAAATCGAGGCTACCATATAATGTTAAATAGTGGTTATCATATCATAAAAGCATGCTGTGGAGGCTATGAGATGGTTGATCATTAATGTTGCAAAGTAAACTTTTCACCATATAAACTTTTATAATGCTCACTCGTAATGCATCCCCACAATTATAAGCAAAATGAAGAGAGGAATAAGAGATGGGAAAGAGAGAATGGAATAGAAGAAGAATTTTTCATCCTAAAGAAGAGAAAGAGAATAATCATCAATGTCTTTCTCATGTTCAACCTTAATCTTTCTAATAAGTATCTTATTACTTTTCAATCATTAAAAGTGAAACTGACGTCTTTGTCTTTATTCGTATGAAGTGTAATCTATTGTTTGTGCATCACTTTGAAGCTTAGTGAAATATTTTAGATGATGGTTGGCCACATTTATACTAATGCCAGACATTAGAATTGACTTGAAGAGATTATTTGTGATTTTTTCAGTTCTATTTTAAGAAGAGAAAATCAAGCATATCAAGATGTTCAATATAAATATTCCATATCAAAAGTCGGAGTTGGTGTTGATGGCACACATCCACTCTGTTGTAATAATGTGCATTAACATAATGAATTTTTTGGGCGTTGATATATATTGATAGTGTATGTTAGCTTTGTCGATAAACAACACGCATTGGATGTAAAAAGGAGATGCTGAGCTTATTTGAGTGGCGTTTTGAAAACGCACCTGACTTGTTTGGGTAAATTGCGTTTTGACAGCTTATGTGTTTTCAAAACGCAGAAAACAACGTTTTCACACCGTACCTATCTAGGTGCGGTGGGAGCTTATTGGCAACGGTCTGACTTTTCCAACAAAACAAAAATTTGTAATAGCCATCGCACATAGCTTATCAGCAGATTATTTTTAATTAGTTTATCAACAGATTATTCAATAAGCTGCAGCTGCCCCAAATAGACTTTACATCGAACAAGCATCGGATGTAAAGAAGATGATGATGACACATATAGCTTGTAGCACTAGTATGTAGAAAATACCAACGATGGTGACCGGTCAACAGTAAAGAATGTGCCAATATTTTGGAAATAAGATTTCAATTTTAATTTTGATTCCTCAACGCTGTTCTAGAATCTTCAATACAAATTCATTAATTTTAATCATTTCATCAGTTTAAATATATAATTTTAATTTATTATTATTATTAAATATTATAAAAATTATATTTTTGTTATGAAATAAATTTTTTTTTTCCAATTGCAATTGTCCCATACGATGTGTAAAAATTTTCACAATGTTATAGATGATCCTTTCATCAATCTTATCTTCTTTTCCCTCAACTCCCTAATCGGATTCTTTAGGATTTTATTTTCAAAATATGCCTATGTGTCTGAGCGCTTCATCAATGGTATCTAAGGCTTCTTTACTTGATAGAAGCCCAAGTGTGTAAACGAGTCGAGCAGTGCTCGAGCCACCATCAGTTTGAGCTTGAGCTTAATTTTGCAAGTCCAAGCCGGCTCACGAGCCGGTTTGTTTAGCGTGAAAGATAGAAAAATATATTAATTTAAGTTAATATTATAATTAAATGACAAGTATAATGAGCATTTTAGAGATAAGTAATAAGAGATCACTTGATATAAAATTTAAAAAAATATTAGTTTTAAACATTTTTAATAATTTATTTTTTTTGAATTTTAATATATTATAAGTATATTTTTGATTAATTATTTTTTAAATGAACCACCTCACGAGCTATTAAGTCGATTCAGTGTTGGCTTGGTGTTCGTTTGTTAGCACATCGAGCTCAGTTCACTAGCCACCTAGGAGTCATGCCAGGCTCAACTCGCTTACACCCCTACTTATCATTAAATCCACTTTGATGCTATGTAATGATGTCTTTTTTTAAAGGGGCTATTTGATTTGCTGACAAAAACATATAGAATAAAACAAATAAATTGTAAAAATTATATATATATATATCTATATAT